AGAGCTTGTGGTTAGGAAGCTCCCTTTTCCTTGGTGTCAGGAAGTGCCATGTTTTTTCACACATTTCAGAGCTCTTTGTCCTACTCTACTGTAGGCTGGATACCCCTGAAATGGTGAGACATGTTGAGCTAGAGGATTTCTTTTCTTAAAGTGAGAGAAAAGCTTCTGAGAAACTCTGGCACGCAGAGCCTTCAACAGGCATAACTTAGCTGACCTTAAGCTTTACTCCTCCATCATGGCACTTACTTGGAAATATCCTTAGGAGATGGTACTTATTTTGACCAAAAGTACAGGTGACATAATCACAGGATATGACCATGTGAACAATCCAGAAAGATTTCTGATAGTCCAAAGAGACCCAAATGCGTCAGCAAGAAGACCTGAGGTTCTAACCAGCCTTTGTGAGGAATCAGAAAAACAGAGATTACATTCAGATACTGTCACTGCCAATGTCATTCGATGTGGAGAACTTTGCTTCGAACTTGTGTAAGTCTGTGTGGATGCAACGAAGCATTCAGGATGCAATGTATTTCAGGAATCAGCAATATGCTTTAGGCAGAAATCTTGATTTGTAAATACTGCACTCTGCTCCAACAATTTTCTTTTCTGATAGACCATGACCACTTCATAATTCTAGGGCAGAACCATGAAGATTAATAAAAAGCAGGAAGAGGATTTTAATCAACACAGCCAGCTGGTCTGTGGTTTAGATTATGTTGTAGAAGGGAAAGCGAAACATTAAATCTGAATGAAAAATGCAAAACACGGATTACCCCACAGAGTAACTCTTCTAGCTAAATTAACATTAAACTCAAATTTGCAGATCCTGTGCTTATATTACTGTATGCAGGCAATTGTAATATATTTAACATCAACAAGAAACTAAAGCATTGCCTTTAACAAAATGAGTTTTGTTATAAAACCCATTCACAAGAAGCCAGTTTCCTCCCTTCCCCTTTACTAAGGCAATGACCTACTTTTAAAGGATGAGATTTAAAGTATTGCAACAAGTTCGTTCTTTGGAAGGAGCAAAGCAGGGCACAAGATGGCTGGAGAAGGGCTAGTCAAGTAAGAGGAGAGGGTGCCTGCTCAAAGCCCAAGAGCAGCAAGAAGGTGAAGGCTTCTCCAGTATTTGGGCATGTAGGAGGAACAGAGCTGTGGTCCTAAGTGGAGTGGTGCTGAGTGACTGGAAGAAGCCCAGTGAAGATGGAGCACCTGGGAGACTGAGCTGGAGAGCTGCGGAGGCTGCGGCCTCCTCCTGCTCCTCGCCTGCAGCTGCTGCGGGGTAGAGGGGGAAGAGGGGAAACAGGCGCCCGGGAGCCAAGCCAAGGAGACACAAAAGACTCGGGCACCATCGCCCCGTGGCCCTGCCCGTGCCACCTGCCCAGCCTGCCAGGGCCACAGCAACCCGGGTTAAAACCGGGTCAGGATTGCCCGTGCGAAACCTCCTGTTCCGAACCCCGGGTTCATGCTTGGGATGAAAACCTCTGTGGCAGCTTTGCCAGAAAAACATGCTATTTGGAGTGAGGAAGAGGAGACTACATGAGGAAGTATGGAACGAGGAATGTATTTATGAGGAAGTCAGGCTGCCAGAAATACTTACAGAGTCCATTAATTTTTCCTGTTTTAACCTACCCTGTACAAGGACCACCTGAACTGCCTTAACATTAAACCTCACTGATGCTGCTGCGATTGGCCTTGGACAAATCCCATCTTGGACACACGCAGGAGGCAGCTCAGACAGAGCTGCCTGAGCTCAGCTGCCGGGCACTGCCTGTGCTGCCCTTTTCTGGGTATGTGGAAACACTAGCTTCTATACTGACAGTGAACCTATATTATTTTAAGCTGTTCTATCAAACAATTTTATTAAGGAGAGAAATAGTGAACACAGCATAAATCAGGTAATTCATTTTTTTTCCAGTTAGATTTTCCCAGGTTCCATCTACACAATACACTTATAATCTAAGAAACGACTCCTGAGTGACCCAATTGCCACACTTCGCACACTGGCACAATTAGCCTGTTAACAACTGTAGTGCTACTGTAAAACATTTGTTTTTCTCATTACAGAAAGCAAACTTTGATCCTAGAAAAATGTAAATGAGCAGGATCTTATCAAAAGCTCACCTCTAGGTTGCAACACCTATGCAATACAGGTCTTTCAAGCATGATTTTGCATTTCTAACTTCTCACTGCAGGCTCACCCCATCTGACTAGATCAACAGAAATATCCCATTTATTACTTATCAGGCCTCCCCCGAATGAAAGAGCGTGCTGTTTCATTTGAACTGGGCTGCAGTCAGAAAGCAGAAGGCGCTTTTGTTCACAGCTGCCTGCAGCCTCTGCTCGTGTTGTGCCTCAAGGTAATGCATTTGTCTATGCTATGGCAGCTGGGCAGTCGTGCCATGAGAATCACTCAAGCTGTGGTTCTGTCTCGTGCTTGGTTTCGTGCTGTGGTTCTGCCTGGTGCTTGGTTTCCATGGGCTGCCTTCCCCAAGATTTCCCCCTTACAGCTTCGTCTTAGAGTAGATGGCTCAGAATGTGTCCCAAAGTGCCTGCTCAGTCTTCAGTTAAAATGTTGCCACCACCACTAGGTCAAACTGACTGAAACCAAAGCCAAATTTGTCACAGTCAAGAAAAAAATGTGAACTCTCATATCAAGTTCTTAGTATGAAAAACATGGCTTGTAACCCAGACGAGGTCGTACTAAATCGTCCTATTCTAGCTCTAGGGTGCTCGGGCCTCCTGCGATTGAGGTCTGTATCACCTGGAGTGGAAGTTTGCTTTGCCCCAGTTCCCTTTCAGGTGAGAAGAAAATAATGTCAGTGATGTGCCAAAAAGAGGTAAAGGAAGAGGCTTTGCCACTCCAGGTACAACGTGTGTAAAATGCAGTATTCTACGTCACAACACTTTTTCAAATTACATTGAAATGATCACTGTTAAAGAGCGTAACTTTATCATTGAACACACAGAAAAAAAACAAAAAACAACAACAAAAAAGGCTGAAATACTTGAAATCTTTAAGAACAGCATTTTTCATTCATTAAAAAAAATTAAAAAACCCAAAACAGTCCTGCTTCCTTCAGTTGTTTGGGAATTAAAATGCTGCTGGCCATGTTTCCCCCATGGCACTCCCCTATGGCAGCCACAGTTCAGTGCTGTTTTCTTTGAGGGATCATAAGACAAACTCACATGTAAGGAAGGATTGCCAGAAAATTCTTAATTTATAATAAAATCACTGTGAGCTTTTTCACAAAGAAGCCATTTGCTATTCCACATGCATCTCAGGCCATATTCAGGAAGTTTGGACAACACTAAATATTGGGAACTTATATTCTCCTACTGCAGTGCCATATGAAGAATATTTCAACTCAGAAGAACATGCGATGAAAAGCAGGTCGGTCTGGAAATGCACATTCTTTTTTTTCAAAATACACCTTTGTTATCTTCTGTGACTGGGTGATACTTTTTTTTTTTTTTTTTTTAGGAATTACTCTTAAGCATTTACGATAGAAAACTAAAGCCAAAACCTTATTCTAATCTTTTGTATCCCTTTTGTATCCAGAGTCCCAAATCCAGTTAGTCTCTGGGATATTACAGAACTTGCCATCTGTATTATAAATACTTACCAGGCCAAAAAAAAAAAAAAAAAAGCCAGGTGAAAATGAAGTCAAAGTAGTGAGTCATTTAAAGCAAACAAAACATAGCCAAGGACACTGCAGTTAACCCCAACCAGAGCATATGCAGCTCAAAAATTCTGTGAGAAGGTCACACTTAATAGAAATCCAGAAATAGTGAGAAAATAAGTGTCAGATGAAGGCACAGAAACAAATTAAACACTTCTATCATGTTGTTAGGCAGCAAATATACAATTAATACATATTTGTGTTCACTAAGATTATGGTCAGCTCATTTTAAAGAGGTTTTCTTCACTTATTTTTTGTCTCACTATTAAATAATTCAGAGTAATGTTCACATGTAACTTTTACATTAAAAATTTTTATAAACCTGCAGTCTCCCCATTGCACTTACTTTCCTTTCTACACAGAACAAACGATTGTTCTAGGCGCATCCAAAGCACAATTTATACTTGATTATAGCTATATTCTTCTGCCTGAGTGACTAATATGAAATCTTATGCAGACAGCTTTACCTTATAAATATATTTCCTAAGCACAAACAGAAAGATTTCCTCATGCCAGTATATATCCACATCCATTTTAGAAAGTTATGCAGGCAAGACATTATTCTTCTCAACTATTTATATTTCTCCTTCACACTAACACAAATTGCAAACACCGAGACAAAATAATCTGATATTAGGAGCAAATGTTTCAGCTACTTTTTTTTTTTCAATTGTACAGCAGGAACGAACCATCTCATCCAAAGAGCAACATCATTAAGTTGCACAGTCGTAATGGCAATGATAGCACTGCTTTCTGA